ATTACTGCTCTGAATTTTAAAGGTTTTCAGTGGTGGCAAGTAATAATATGTGTTTTTGAAGCTATAATGTGTTTCTTAGATGGGTTATGTAGTCATGTAACTGTCTTCAAGGAATCCATTTTGAATCAATGTCTGTGTCTGTGAAGGAAGTTTCAAGATGCTGTTTTCGTCCACTAGCTCTCAGTTCTTATCTGGTTGCTAGGAAGCCGAAGAGAAGGAATTTTGGAGCCATAACATTCCACCAGTAACATAAATAACACCTGCTGATTCTCATGAGAAATCTAAGGCGGGACAAGACACTTTTTACTTGTTCCTGATTGGTTTTCCTCAGGAAGAAGGAGAAGGGGGTAATGGAACCGTGGGCTGTAAAATGCAGAGTTTCTGAGACAGAGAGAGGCCCTTTTTCCTAACATGGATTTGAGTGGTTTTCCTTAACATGGATGGAGACTTGATGGACTACAATGGACTGGGCAATTTCTGATGGACTATGGAATTCCTGAATACGTAAGAATGTAGTTTACTTAAGAGAAGGAAGGCCTAGCCTTTCATATAGATTAGTATTCATTTCATTATTTTAATTTTCTAGCTGAAGTTTGTTGAGTGTTCTAATGACTTGTTTGGAAATGTTACTAAATGCTTTGCTATGCAATAAACTGAATTCTGTCTAAATCTATATTTTTCTAATAAAAACAATAATGCATAAGATCTCGTGTTTTGGTCTCTTGAACAGAACAGCTTGAATGATTAATTTGCTACCTGATATTTTGGCCACGTATTCGCTACCTTGAGCGCATAATTTACCTGAGTTCTGACTCATGGTTTGTATTGTGGTTCTTACTGGTTCTTTAACAAGGGGGTAGACTTGAGGAAAGGGGATCAGTGTGGCTGAGATTGGGCTCATCTTAGCTACATTGGAGTGCACTGAGCTCTGGAATCTCTCTATTCCCGGCTTGTCTGATCTCTCCAGAGATGGACAAAGCTTACATCCATCTTTCTTTGAGACTGCAAAGTAGCGCGAGAAGAAACCCTCGCTGGAGTCAGAGGATGGTATCCTGGTTATGGCCTCCTTGGATAGGAGTGCTGAGATTTCCAAATGCAGAGGCATGGAAAAGGGAGTTGTTTTGATTGAGTTTGGTGGCAGGATCTCCGAAAATTCAATCAAATAGCCCTTTTCAATGATATTAAGGACCCACTTGTCGGTAGTGATGGTTTGCCATTCTTGGAAGAATGGGAACAGTCTGGTGGTGCATAAAGAATTAGGAGAGATGCTTACCCCTGTGCTGAGCTTTGCGAAATGACTGCTTGGGGCTGAGAAATCGTTGCTGTTTGAACAACGGGACGGTGGACTGTTGAGTCTGATAAGTCCGGTCCTGCTGTTGTTTGCTGTACCGAAAGAGTTGGTACTGAGTGGAAGATTGGTATTGAGGCTTCTTGTATGCCTGTTTCTGGGGCCTATATGGCTGGTATGGTGCGTAAGACTTTGCTGTCTTTCTCATCTTATAGATATTTTCCATGATTTCGTCAGTTATGGAGTTGAATAGTCCAATCGCGTTGAAGGGTAGATCCTCGATTTTTTTTAGTGTCGTCGAGGATATTGGCGGTTCTGAGCCATGCCTGGCGTCTGACAGTTATCGCCATTAGCATGGATTTAGAGGTGATGTCTGCCATGTGTTTTGCAGCGAATCTCTGTTGCCTTGTCAGGGTATTAGCCTCTTCGTAAACGTTGAGGGCTTCCGTTTTAGAAGGATCAGGTAATGTTTGTAGCATAGGGATTATTTTGTCCCAAATATGCTTCCGGTAAGCTTCCATGGCCTCTTGATAGTTGGCTATTTTGATCAAAAGGGCAGCTAAGGCATAAAGCTTCTTGCCCAAGCTGTCCGATTTTCTACTCTCTTTGTCAATGGGCATAGCTGACGACCGGGTACGAGACTTGTATTGGGTAGCATCAACCACGATGGAGTTGGGTGTTGGATGATTAATGAGGAATTCAGAATCTGACCCATGAGTTTTGTAGTGATGCTCTATTTTGTGAGGGAGTTGAGCCATCGAGGGTGATTTGTCCCATGAAGTTTTAACCAGCTGGGATGAGGCTCAGACTAGGAGGGGAGGTCCTGTCCTGCTCCGTGTCTTGAAAGACTAAGTCCCTTTCCTGTTGTGGGATTTGTGCATCCAGCTGAAGCGTTTTGGCCATGCACATGAGTTGCGCATAAGAAGAGAAATCTTCTGGAGAAGGCTGGGAAGACGGGCCTTGACCAACTGGCTCAGGGGCCTTTGATTCACTGGATGCCGTAGAGTGGTCATCTGGGAAGGATTGAGAGGCTGGAGAAGGGGATCGGCACGGTACTGCATCCTCAGATACGATGTCCATGTCAGACTGTGTGGGCGTGGAAAAGGGCTCGGTATCGTGAGCTCCTGGGCCAGAATAGAGTGGTAGCCCGTACTGAAGAATGTTGGCTGCTGCGCTTGGGAGGCATTGTAGGTACCATGGGGAAACGCCTCTTATGTAGTGCAGGAGGAGCTACTGTATGGTGCCATGACAGTTGAGGCATGGGAGTGTCTAGAAACTCCGGCGGGTAACCGTAGCCTTGGTATGGATACGGTTGGTATGGAGTGTAGTAAGGGTGGCCAAATGGCGGACCCTGTGGACGGTTCCCATCTCCTGTATCTCGAGGTTGGTACGGAATGGAATGTTTGCGCTTTTCTGTCCTTTTCCTAGGAGTGTCGTGGACAGGCTCCTGTTTGGAAAGAGACTCGGTATCAGCCCGCCCTGAGTATTGAGGGCTAGAAGGGGCAACGGCCCGGCTGGCGTCTGGCACAGCCTTGAATCGGCCCAAGTTTGGAGACATGCATATGGTATCCTGAGCCATATGGGCTAAAGGAATGTACTCGTCAGTATCAGAAAGTCCAATTCCTTCCCTCGAAGACTCCTCAAGCAGTATCGAAGGAGCTGGAGGAGGCACAGTAGGCAGTTTAGTTGACTTCTTCAGCTTTTTGGACTTATCGCTGATTATCCTTTTTGCAGGAAGAGCAACTCGAGAGGATGCCTTGGCTTTAGGCGATTTTAAGGCTTCCTTAGGCTTCACAGGAAGAGAAATGGTAAGAGTCGACTGCTCAACAGGAGAATTCTGTTTAGATGCCTCCAAACGTGGAGGAATTGGTGCCGGGAGGGAGGAGCCTTCCATGGTGGGAAAAAGAGTCTTCTTGTAGAGAAAAGATCGGAGCTGTTGGCGCCTGATTTTAATGGCTTGCTTGGAAAAACCTTTGCAAGCAATGCAGGTCTGGTCGAGGTGTGATTCTCCCAGACAAAACAAGCACTTTTTGTGGCCGTCTGAGAGCGGGATTTTGCGAGAACAGACAGCGCACTGCTTGAAGCCCCATTTGTGTGCATTCCCAGAGACCACTACGAAGAAGCCTTTTTATGCACACACAGTGTGTGCATGGGGGAGACTTTGCAGGTTACTTGGCTATCATAAAAAGCGGTGATGACTTGAAAAAGGTTAGGAACCATTGGGCTAAAGGGAACTGAAAAACAGAAACTGGTGAGTTTGAGGACTTGCACAATGAGGTGCTGTAGAAACAACTCTGTATTGAAACTCTAGAATGTTCTGAGGAGTTCCCATGCAGGTGTAGAAACAACACTGATATGTGTGATTCAAAGAGTCCATGAAGATGAAGCACAATAATGAAGCACAGAAAACATTAATGGAAAAGTAGCACCAGTTATACTATAGTATAATTATTTAAAGAACACAACTAGATCAAACTATATTAACAGGTACGCATAAACACTTAAAACTGAAAGCCGACTATGCACAGAATTATGGTACCAAGAAGACAATTCCTTAATTTCAATTTCTCAAGATGTAACAGATTGGCTTAATAGATATTTTTTTACTTCTGTGCTTTTCAGCTGCTGTATTAATATATCACCTCAAAAGGACCTGGCAATGTAAGCTGAGGCTGCACATAGGAAGGAAGATACATTGTACAGTCTGTGTGCTCATGGGCTCCTTGTATCCCAGACACAATGCCCCCAAATAGTATAGAATCAAAGTCAAAAGCAAAATGTATTCCTATAAAGTTGATCAAACGGGATCAAAGCAACTGCCTGCAAATACCTGTTTCCCAACGAAGTCCTGAAATTGTAAGAATTGTTAAGTGATGCTATTACAGTGAAAATAGAAACATCCAGTCCAATGCATAGAATACACTAGGAATTCCCATTGGCTGGGGCAACTACAACATGGTCTCTAAAATGGCTTTGAGACCAAAAGCCAAACTGCAATGAAGGCACCTGGAGGAAAAAAAATGCTAAGGAAGCTATAAGAAAAAAAATAAAAGGAAGTACAGTTTGTTAAGATTTAACATGCCTTAATAAGAAAAGGTAATTAAAAATGGTGTCATGCTACTGTCATTCTCAAAAAGGAATTGAGTGATGAGCAGCAACCCTACCTTTTGAGCATGCTCACTAAGAAGAATGGAATGGGTTCTTACTAAACCCTCTCTGATCAGTCATGGTGACTCAGACCTTTATAGTCAAAATATGTCACCAATCATCATTTTTTGATGAGCAATCTCCTTACTACTGTCTTCTGATGAGCACTGGTATGTGAACGAGGACTTTAAGGAAGCAATGTTTTGGGCCACTGGAAAAATGTTTGCAACAGCCTTATACTCATCCCCTAGAGTAGGCAAAGATCCTCCGGCACACTGCAACCCTGACTCCTGAAATCTGTATACAACAACACAGAAACAATAGATTGAAGTGGACTTTGTACAGAAACAGCCGTAGTGGAACCCATTACTACAACAATTAGAAAAAATATAGCCACAATAATAGAAACTGTTGCCAATGTGTCTATGTAAATCTGCTCCATAATGCAATTTTGGCTGCATTCATGACCCAGAAAAGATATCACAAGCACAAGAAAAAAAAGACTTATATGACTTGATCTTAGAACTCTTTTAGATTGACAATAATTTAACATCCATTTCTCTACCTTTTGTTTTGTGAAGCTCCAGCACCAGCTGACTGTTTACTTTGTTCTCTTCATTAAAGCAGTCCATTGGCTCATGGGGGTCATTAACGATCTGACATACTTGCCATCTCCTACCCTTGAAATCTTCTTCAATGTGAATGCTGACTGTATGCATTTCTTCCAGCTTCAAAAGAGTAGATGATTTTAAACATTCATTATTCATTTTATCCTACATGACAATTCATCTAAGCTGTTTTATTGAGCACACATACATCACAACGCTGTAATCCTTTTATTAACAAGAAACTATCATTACTCTTCACATATAATGAACCAAACTGTTTTGAAACAGTTTTTGTGATACAAAACATCATATGCCTTCATTTTTAAAATATATTATTTGGACTAGGAACGACAGGTTACCTACCTGTAATTGTAATTGTAATTCTACTAGTGGACCTCTGTGATTCACGCTACGGGTAATCCGCGCATGCGCAGAACCTCATTCAAATATGCTAAAGCTTCTGCAGTAGCAAAAAAATACATTAATACAGACCCCTCCCCCCCCCGGTATATGTACCTTGGCACCAAGGCTCTCCCCTCAGTTAGGTCAACCGCCGCATAAAGAAAAGGGCATGGCAGTGGGAAGGCTGGGTCGGGACGTGTGAATCACAGAGGTCCACTCAAAGAACTACAATTACAGGTAAGTAACCTGTCATTCGTCATCATGGCCTCTGTGAATCACACTGTGGGTGACTAACAAGCTACCTTACCCGGAGGAGGGTGTCACAGCAAGGTAGATGATAACACAGCATGTCCAAATGCAGCATCAGATTTCCGCCAAATGTCCAATCTGTAGTGACTGATAAATGTGGGCGATTGTGACCATGTGGCAGAGGTGCAGACGTTTTGTGGTTTTAACTTGGATTTTTGCAGATTTACTGCAAGGCCAAGATCCCGGAGAAGTGACAAAGTGAAGTGAATGTCTCATTATGCTTTGTGACACGAGTGTGCTACGAGTAGCCAGTTGTCGATAAACGGGAAGATGTGAATTTTGTGAAGTCTGAGGTAAGCTGCCACAGGAGCCATGGATTTGGTAAACACTTGGGGCGCTGTTGCGAGTTGGAAGTTTTTTGAATTGGTAGGCCTGAGTTCCGAGTTGGAAGCATAGGTAAGGCCTGTGAGAAAGATGAAGGTCTTAGGTCTATGACTGCGAACCACTCTTTTCTGCTGATTAATGGGAGGACGGACTCAAGAATAACCATGCGGAACTTGGTGGTAGTGATTTAGCTCCCTGAGGTTGAGGATGGGGCGAAGGCCTCCATCTTTTTGGGGGATGGTGAAATAGCACGAGAAAAACCTCTGACTGTGTGTTGTAGTAGTACTTGTTTTGTGGCGTCTTTGAGTAGTAACGACTGTATTTCTTTTTGTAGAGTTTGCAATGGAGGTGTAACGGTGTGTGACAGCGGAGGAAGCTGGTGGAATTCAATGCGATACCCATTCCTTATGATGGAGGGCATCTGTAGTGATGTTTTTCCACACAGGTAACTGCTTCCAAAGGGCAGGAAGAGAGGTGGGAGGTAGTATTGGGATCTCGGCCAGTTGTATGCAAAACGTGATGCTTAGGCTTACAGTCATTGGGCTTAGTTGTGGTTTGTTGGCGAGGTTTGGCTCAGTAAAGTTGTTGTTTGCAGTAAGGCACATAAGATGTTTGCCTTTGAGGTTCTTGTTGAAATTTTTGATAGGCAGTGTAAGGGTGGCACCACTGATTGCACTGAGGGCACTGTTGGTATGTAGGGTAGACTCCCCAACGTATGGCAGCTGTCTTTTCTGAACATTCTCAAGAATGTGATCAGTCTTGGCATTGAAGAGACCAATTCAATCAAATGGGAGGTCTTCAATGCGTGCATGCATGTCCTCGGCTAGACCCGCCGTTCTAAGCCAAGAGAAACGTCAAAGTGCTACAGAGGTAACCATTGATTTAGATGTGGCATGAACTGTGTGTCTAGCAGATAGCATCTGTCGTTTCACCACCGAAAGACCCTCTTGTTGGAAGTTTGTGCTAAGACCCTTTTATCTTTGGGGAGAGCATCAATTAAGGCAGACATATTGTCCCAAAGAAAATGTTGGTAGGCGCCCTTAGCTCCCTGACAGTTAGCCATTCTCATGGTGAAGGCAGCAAAAGAGTATAGCCATCTGCCCATGGAGTCAATGCGCCTGCTATCTTTATTATGTGGTATTAGTATTTGTCTGTGTCAAGAGTGAGATTGTGAAGCTTTGACGAATATGGAATTGGGAACTGGTTGTTTCTGTAAAAAGACTGTGCCTGAGTCATGTACTCGATAAAAGTTGTCTATGCATTTTGACACTGAACGAGATGATGAGGGTTTAGTCCAAGAATGTCTAGCTGTGCTCAGGAGAGAAGGGAGCATGGAGATGTGGTATCTTTAGAGATGGGATCATAAAGATGATCTGCTGATTCAGTAGTGGGTCTATGGATTAGTAGATAGAGGTATTTGGCTGTACGAATCATTAGTTGAGCATAGGTTTGAAAATCCTGTACTGGTGACAGAGGGTCTGTTTCTGCCAGGTCAGAATCCAGCAATGTTAAAAGTACTGATGGTGTTTGAGGACTAGAACCATGATCAGATGGGTCAGCATTATGCCTCAAGTCAATCGATATCAATGTTGGATGGCTGGTCCTCAAAATATTGGTGTTGATGCCGAGCTATCGATATTGAGGGGCGTCAGTGGACAGTGGTCGATATCGAGGGGCGTCAATTGGTATCGATATCAAAGGTGCGTCCGTGAACAAGGGGTCGATATTGAGGGGTGTTGATCGGTACTGACATCGAAGGTGCATCTATGGACAGGGGTCAATATCAAGGGTCTTCCACTGGTGCCGACATCAAAGGTGCATCAATGGACAACGCTCGATATCAAAGATCATTGATATCGAAAGGGTCGGTATGAAGGTGGTGTTGAAATGGAGGTTGCTGTAGGTGTTGAGACAGCTATCAAAGTGGTAAAGGCATCAATGGATCACACTGTGTTATGGTGAAATAGACAGATGCTGGTGACACTGAGCAGGATGAGCATTCACAGTCCTCCTGATGGACAGGAAAATAGTAACTTCCCGGTGCTGCAAACGTGCCCAGAGCTGAGGAGTATTGATCGGCCTGCTTGGGTCTCTTAGGTGTTGGCAGATAAGAAGTGCCAGATAGTCCTGGGCAATCATGGTAATAAGATTGCTTTGACACCAAAGGCTCCCTAGCAGAGACATCCTGCAGGGACAGCACTGCCGGACCAGGAAGAGCGACTGGTCGATACTGTTTGGCAGGTCTCTCTGACGGGAACATATGGCATCCTGATAATGGTGCTGAGCATGATCTCATTCTGCGTGAGAAGGCAAGCGGACACTCATATAGGCTTGGTGTCTTTGTTGATGTGCCAGAGGGCGAGGTGGTAGGCTTACTGGGGCAGAGTAAGGCACAGTTTCTGGTTGCGTTTCAGCAGCATGGATGTCTGGCGAGGCAATTTGTGAAGACTCGCTGGGAGAGCCTGAGGATTGTTGCGGACTATCAGGAGAAGCCGTGAGTCGATCAACACACTGTTCCCAATTGCAAAACTGTGATGGTAGTGGTTAGTGAGGTGGAAGTGCCTCCTCATCTGAAAGAGAACCGACGCAGATGAGGTTTCCAGACTCCAGTGGTTGTGGAGTCAGGGAAACAGTTTTGGAAGGCTTCAATTTCAAAGACTTAGCCTTCTTCCGAGGTGACAGTTCCAGTGCCAAGGAAGCGTCGATGGACTGTTTTCTCTTAGAGGCTGTTTTTGATGTCAAGGGTTTCAACGTCGAATGTTCAGCCAGTGTTGACCGTCAATGTTGAGTGCTCAGTAGGTTCTCGATGATCGGAACGAGATGGAGTAGCTGACGGATGCTGTTTTGTTGCTTCAGAAGAGAGCAGGATCTTGTTATCACAGGCTATGCAGCATTTAAATGGGTCTGAAGAAGCCATGAACCAAGAACTGGTTTTGAAAAGAAAACAACGGAGAGGTTCAGGGGGTGGGAAGGGGAAGCGCTTCGACCCTATGGCCGGAGTGTATCTTGTTTTGTAAATAAGGATGATGATGATGATGATGATGATGATGATGATTTTATAGATAATTTTTAAATAAAGTTCAATAACTTCCCTTTTGTTTTCAGATTTCTCACAGAAGCAGCGATCGAGGCTCTCAATGTGGCGGTTGAAAGAAACTGAAGGGAGAGCCTTGGAGCCAAGGTACATATACCCGGGGGGGGGAGGGATCTGTATATTTTTGCTACCGCAGAAGCTTTAGAATATTCCAGCTAGGCTCCACACATGCATGGATTATCCATAGTGTGATCCAGAGGCCACAAAGAAGAACTAATATTCAGAAGTTGTTGTCTAGAAGAAAGCTATGTGATAATGCAATATTTGAAGGTTCTCCTTCCTTTACACTATTTTAAATCACTGAGAGCATACTTTTATACATTTTAACTAAAAATAATTCAATAGGATTTATTCCCATGCATGTGTACAACTGCAGCTAAAATACATTTTAAAATGCCCTTCTTAAAATTATACTGCAGAATACTAATTTCATTCACACCAACCAGTCATTAGATGTAAGTAATTCACTTCATGGAACCCCTTTATAATTCTGCTTCCTTAAGATCACTTTTCCCATTAGGCTTAAGCTTTCTATCTGTGCAGTAACCTTATTTGGATAAGCATAACTGCATTTATTCCCATTCTTGATATGGAGGTATTTGGTCTTCTCTTCTTAACATGTATTCTTTCTCATTATCTGTTGTTAAGTACGTTGGTTGCAGGAACCCATTTAATATAAAAATTAATAAAGGGTTGCCTACATTGATGATATAAACAACAATTACCAATTAAATGGAGGCCATTTTTGTGTAGGAGAAATACTATACACCATTTTATGCACAGTGCCATGAGATAAGCATGCTATATGTCACAAGTGTACTTGCTGGAAATACTCCCTGAATGCTGTTTCTCACTGAAGACAGTAGTTCTTAACAGTGCCCATCACATACACAGATACAATTTTAAATTAATGAAACATTAATATGATTTTACTTGTTTTGTTGATTCCGCAAGTTGATCCAGAAGCTTTTCTACCACAGCGTGCAAGCCATGACAGATTTTATGAATTTGTTCTTCATTTTCCAATACCAAATCTTGATTTTCAAAAATACTTTCACATAAATGCTCACTTAGCTCTGATATTTCATCAGCCATCAGAGAAGCAAAGTTGTGTTCTGGTAAAGTCTGATTGAGAAACTTTCCTGTTCAGGAAAACACAGTTTTAAAGCACACATACTTTACAATACACATACTGTACAATACATTGTACTATGCAAACAATTACATTATTTATATGTCATAGAGTCAAAGAGTTGGAAGAAACCACTGAGGCCAACACCAGTCCAACACCCTGCCATGCGGGAACATCCATCAAAGTACTCTCAACAGATGGCCATCCAGCCTCTGTTTAAAAACCTCCAAAGAAGGCTACCACCATTTGAGGCAGCCTATTCCACTGCCGGACAGCTCTGACCATCAGGAAGTTCTTCCTAATGTTCAGATGGAATCACTTTTCCTGTAGTTCAAAAACCATTGCTCCATGTCCTAGTCTCTGGAGCCCTGGAAAAGAAACCTGTACCTTTTTCAACATGGCATGCTTTCAAATATTTAAACATGGCTATCATTGTTGTTGCTGTTTAGACGTTAAGTCCTGTCCGACTCTTTCTGACCCCTTGGACCAGAGCACGCCAGGCCCTCCTGTCCTCCACTGCCTCCCGGAGTTGGTTCAAATTTATGCTGGTAGCTTCAATGACACTGTCCAAACATCTCCTCCTCTGACGTCTCCTTCTCCTCTTGCCTTCACAGTTTCCCAACATCAGGCTCTTTTCCAGTAATATCTGTCACTGCCTCCCTATCTTCCCCTTCTATTTCCCAGGAGGTGATGGGAAAAGTGGCGATGATCTTAGTTTTTTTGATGTTGAGCTTCAGACCATTTTTTGCGCTCTCCTCTTTCACCCTCATTAAGAGGTTCTTTAATTCCTCCTCACTTTCTGCCATCAGAGTGATATCATCTGCATATCTGAGGTTGTTGATATTTCATCGGGCAATCTTGATTCCGGCTTGGGATTCCTCCAGTCCAGCCTTTTGCATGATGTATTCTGCATATAAGTTAAATAAGCCGGGAGACAATATACAGCCTTGTAGTACTCCTTTCCCAATTTTGAACCGATCAGTGTTTCCATATCCAGCTCTAACTGTTGCTTCCTGTTCTACATATAGATTTCTCAGGAGGTAGATAAGGTGGTCAGGCACTCCCATTTCTTTAAGAACTTGCCATAGTTTGCTGTGGTCCACACAGTCAAAGGCTTTTGCGTAGTCAATGAAGCAGAAGTAGATCTTTTTCTGGGAGTCTCTGGCTTTCTCCATAGTCCAGCGCATGTTAGCAATTTGGTCTTTAGTTCCTCTGCCCCTTTTCTTCTTTCTCCAAACCTTTATTGGCATAAATACAGCTGGGATTACTAACAATAAACACAACGGGTTATAACTTGGAAGTTAATTTGAGAATCTCAAGCAGAAAAATAGCAACAGCTTCAGTGATACGGGAGGAAGAATCATTCAGAAAAATCTCAGGGGTGTTCGACAGGGAAGATAACCAGGGTTCTAGTAGTGCCTTACGAATGGAGAAATGAACTGGGCAGGAAAACAGTATATGATCAAGTGTATCCGGAACCAAATGGCAGAACAGGCATAATCGGTCCTCTTTAGGAATATTTGCAAATCGACCGGCATGGTTC